GCTGGCTCAGAAGCCAGGAACACACTCCATCACACTCCACACAGCCTCAGGGGAGGAAGGGCTGGAGCGGTTCTGAGAAGGTTCACTGCAGAAACTGGAGGCTGGGAAGGTCTGACCAGCAGGCAGGTGGGGTGTTGATGCATGGACAAAGCACGGGACCTGAAAGCAGATTATCTGGAATAAGTCCTGCCTCCATTTTTTGGCCATATCTTTGGGCAAATTAGGTGACTTCTCAAAGTCTCAGTTTCCTCCTCTGTAAAAGGGGGTTGACGATGCCCACCAGGCATGGCAGGCCCCTACAGCAGTGCTTTACAACAGATTGTTGTCATCAATGAGAAGTCATAGATCTGTGAAGGGCTGGTTCTTGTCTTGGAGCAGAACAGGGACCACGCAGATGGGGGCATCTTGTAGGAATGTAATTCACCCTCCTTCCCTGCTAGGAATCCCCTCTATAGCACCCTGATGGCTGTAGCCAGCCTCTACTAGGATGACACAAACTCAGCATCTCACATGGGAGTCTAGTTCATTTTGAAGGCATGCGGGGAGCATGGTATTTAGAAAAATCTGATGTATAGCTAAAATCTGGGCTAGTTGTATGACCTTGGAGAAGTCACATTGTCTCTATGACTCTCAGTTTTAAAAAATTATTTATTTATAATTTTGGTTGTATTAGGTCTTTGTTGCTGCGTGTGGTAGAGAGCAGAGTCTACTCTTTGTTGCAATCCTGGGGCTTCTCATTGCCTGGCCTCTATAATTGCAGAGCCCGGGCTCTAGGCGTGCGGGCTTCAGTAGTTGTGGCATATAGGCTTAACTAAGCACGGGCTTACTTGCTCCACGGCATGTAGAATGTTCCTGGACCAGGGATCCAATTTATGTCCCCTGCGTTGGCAGGCAGATTCATATCCATTGCACCATCAGGGAAGTCCCTCAGTTTTCTTTTTAATCAGTAAAATGGAGACATTATGACCTCATCTGTAGGGTAAGGATGCAAAGTAATTTGTGAAGAAGGCATAGTCTGGGACCTGGTATGTAGTTGACACTTAATAAACATTATGTCAAGATAAAAGCACTATTATTAAAAAGTTCCAAGAAGCGCTCATTAAGTACCTGTTGTACTCAGAGCATCACAGGTAATACAGTTGAGTACCCTGACACTTAATAGAATCATACTATATATTTTCAGTCATTTTTACATTAAAAATAATTGGAAATATATATACAGTTTTGGGGTCTGGATTTATCACTTGATATTGAATCATGAACCTTTCCTGATGTCCTCAAATATTCTCTACAAAAGTGGCTTTAAGTGACAACAACAACATAGTGTTCCATCACTGGCTCGTCTCCAATTTGCTTACCCACTCTAATATTTGGGAGCATTTAGGAATAAATGGCTTTGAAAAAACAACTCTCATCTGTCGAGATATGATTCGTAAGCATTCTTGTGTATTAAGGATTACTACTCTATTGTTTAAAAGTTCTGAGTTGCAGGGGAGAAGGGTTGATCGGTTGGGGTGATCACAGGGCTTGTGTATGTATGTACACACACCTATTTGGCCCCCACTCACTGCCATCTGATGGACTTATCGGGCTGGGAGGGAGTGCTGTGATCAACTCAGCCCAGTCCCGCAGGCCCTCAAGCCCTACAGGTGCTTGGGTTTGCTTCCAGAGTTATTTCACCTCCGTGAGAGGAATCTTCCACATGCCCAGCACAAGCTGCCAGGCCTGAGCTACTGGAAGGGGACCTTCTAGCTCCCTATCCATGGACTTTGCTTTAGTTTTTGGCCCCCTCCTTTTTTTTTTTTTTTATCTCTTTATGGCATGTGGCAGCTAGCCAGCCCCGATGGCTGCCATCATCCAAAGAACCATATCAATTTCAAGCTTATTTGGAGAACAGACAGCAAAGAAAACATAATTCAGCATTTTATCAAGTAGAAAACATTTCTAGTCCAGCTGACTTCTTTGACATATTTTTGGCTATTAAAAATAGTTGATGGTTTATTTTTTATTGACATGTGCTAGAGACTGCAAAGAAATCTGTAAAGTAGCGCTCATTCCTGCTGATCCAGTACACATTCGTCCCCTCATGGGGCTGGAGCTGGCCAACGAGGTTTCACTGGCCAAAACCAAGAAGAAGGTGGAGTTGCCTTTTACGTAAAGGCTTTGAGTTTTAGAACAAAAGGAAGAGGCTCAAAGGAGAGGAGACAGCATCTGGGCTCTTTCCCTTTATTTCTTCCTCTAAAAATGATGGAAATAGACTTGGATTCTGATTTCGGTTAATTTCTGCCAAAAGAAATTAATTAGAGTTTGAAATATGCAGCTGATCCCAAATCCTTCCCTGGGGAGGTGTGATGCTCCCCAGATGTCTTCAGACCCCTTTGAGAAGAAAGTGATGGTCATTTCTGGCTCGAAAACATTATGATCTGTTCCTAGTTGATTTCTGAAGGGGAAGTGGCCTTATCCTCAAAGTCCGAGTGTCCCTGAATTCACCACCTGTTCTTCAGCCCCACTAGGTCTTGTGGTTTGGTGTTTCAGGCACCCAATAGTGCTTTCAAAGATTGGAACCTTCCAAAGGGCTGAAATTGTGTTCTGTTTTGTCCTGGGCCCTTAATTGGAGCAGCATAGTACTCCTTGAGATATCTCTGTGCATGTGTGCTGAGTAAATGATTGCAGGGCAAAGAGCAAAATGGATATCTTTCCCTGCAGCTGGATGGTGCTACATAGTATAGAAAGTTGGGGTCTGTGTATAAGCCAGTTTGGAAGCTTCTGGTAGGCAGGGGATCTCTGTAAATATCCTGTAGTGTCTAGCACACTGTTGGACACCTAGCAGGTGCTCAAGAAATGAGAAGTGGTTGAAATTGTCATGAAAGAAAGAATGAGCTCTTGCATGAGTTCTCCCGTGGGTTCCCAGCACTAAGTGGGCCCCAGAACTGTATCAAATAAATGAATGGTAGATTGGCAGACACCAGGGAGAGCTGCTCTCTTTCCATCTCAGCATGCAAAGGGTGGTTGAGAACACAAACTTGGGCATCTGGGAATCCTGGGCTCAAATCCAAGCCCTCCACTGATTGCAGTGGCTGCCCCATATTGGACCCCTCCCCCTCCAATGCTGGAGATCTCAGGTACCCCTCCCTCTGTCTCTGAAAGCTTGCTTTCTTGGACAGTGATGTCTCCCCCCTCTCTCCTGGAGGTTGCACATGGTAATTAATTATATCCCACCTTTGAGACCTGGAGGAGGAGATGGGGACGCACTCCAGTATTCTTGCCTAGAGAATCCCTTGGACCGAGGAGCCTGGGGGGCTATACAGTCCATAAAGTCGCAAAGAATCGAACATGACTGAAGTGACTTAGGATGCACTCACGCACCTTTGAGACACTTTCCATTATTATCTTAAGTTGTCATTTGGGTCTGTGTAAATGGACACTTCTCACATTTTTATTGTTTCCTACCAAAGAGTGGGCTGAGCACTTGTTGGCGGTGAGTCAGAAGCCTTGGCTTCGAACCCTGGCCCAAGCCACTCGCCCCTCTGAGTCTTCACCTGTAGATCTATACAGTTGGGTGAAAGAGCTAGGGCTGTCTAGAGGATGGATGAGAACAAGGTGTGAAACCACCTTGAAAACAGTAAGTTGCTTTGTAGACACCAGGCATTTTATGATTCTGGAGCACAGGGACCGTTTCTCTTGTGGCCGGTGTCTCTCAGGATGCATGGGGCTACGACACCGTGCTTGGAAGTACTGCCGGCTCTCTGCTACCTTTGTTCAGGGCTGTGTTCCCGCCTTCCTCCGGGACTGGGAGCCACCTCTGCTCCCTGGCTTCCAAATGCCCAGGAGGTACCAGCCCTGCAGAGAAGGTGAGGGAAATGACGGTAGCCATCCCTCACAGGGCCGGGTAGCGGGCTAGGCACCTTACATATTGTTATTCAGTTGCTCAGTCGTGTCTGACTCTGCCACCCCATGGATTTGCAGCATGCCAGGCTTCCCTGTCCTTCACCATCTCCTGGAGTTTGCTCGAGTTCATGTCCATTGAGTCGGTGATGCCATCCAACCATCTCATCCTCTGTCCTTCCCTTCTCCTCCTGCCTTCAATCTCATAGAGTGCCTTTATCTTTCACAGCAGCCCTGAGAGGTAGGTACTGCTATTATCCCCATCTGATGCCGGAAGCCCTTGAGTGCAGAGGCAGAGAGGGCAGCCTGAGATCACATGGCTAGTAAGTGGCTGTGTCCGGGGTTGGATCCAGTGGGCGGGTCTGGAGCGCTTGCTGCTAACCATGTGGGTCCCCTAAGCTGCCCTGAGGCTGGAGGACTGCACCAGAGGCCAAATGACCCATGTGCCTCCCCCAGCCTGAGCTGAAGGGACCCTCAGGACCCTTCTCCTGCCCAGGAACCTCGCTGTGCTCCTGTGCTTGGCCCCTTGCCTCTCCAGGAATTCTTCCACTGCCCTTGCTTCCTTCTGCACCCTCAGCCTAAAACGGGAGAGCCACCACCAGGACGTTCTCATTCATTCCTGAAAGAACTCTGCATTGTCAGGATGGAAGGGACCTTGGAATCCTCTGGTTCAAGTTTGTTAAGAGGAAAGAGAGACCGAAGCTGGAACAGTATTGATGTCCAAACCAGATAATAGCAGCACAGAAAAGAATTATGTTCATATGACTTATGAGCATGAAGGCAAAAATTCTAAACAACACATCAGCAAACTGGATCTAGCTATGTATAACAAACATAATACATCATGCCCAAGCAGAGTTCATCCCAGGAATGCAAATATGATTTAACCCTAGAAAACAGAAGCTCAGAGGGCAGCTGCGGAGACTGAGCCAGCCCAGGGCCCAGCCCAAAGTGCTTTCGGGGACCTGGTTACCTTTGTGCTGTATCCTGCTCCTGGGAGGTGCTGGTGACAGTCTTTCCTTTGTTGTCACTGCCTCTCACCACTTTATGTAGCCTCAGAGTGAAATGTTCTGTCCTGGATTTTTTCTAATCCTCTCTTTCCATTTCTCCTGCAGGATTCCATGTTTTCGTTGGCCCTGAAATGCCTTATCAGTCTGTCTACCATCATCCTTTTGGGTTTGATCATCGCCTATCACACACGTGAAGTCCAGGTAGGTGCCCTTGCCCACATCCCTTCATGCCGGGGCCGTTCCTCTGCTCCAGGCTGAGCCCGCCCCCTGCCCCTCAGGAACTAGCTGGAGAATCTCATCAGACAGTATGTGAGATTGTGGCCCTTCTCTTTCAGTTTGGGCCCTCATGGGAGAGGTAACTGTGACGCTGCTCTGGGGTTTTAGAACCATTGTGATTATCCCAGAGGCAAACATGGCTTCATGTTTTGGGGACAGTCCTGCTCAGAGTCTTCATTCTGCACTGCTTTACTGTAGGACTGACTTTGCTCTTTCTCTCTTGCTGGATCTTTTCTGAGTGTGAGCCATTGCATCTCCCAAGTGAAGCAGACCTTCCTCCTATGCCCTTGCATGCATGTGCCTGCGTGTTCACACACACACAAACACAGATACTGCGCCAGATAACACTAGGAGTCTGATGGTGAGTTTACCGCTTCCTGGTCTGTGCCAGGAGGGAGTCATTTTCTAGATAGAATAGAATCTTCTGTGGTCGAGGAGGCCTCTGTTTCTTGCTGCCCAAAAGTCACTTGGTACCCAGAGAAATATTGGCCTGGCCTCTGGGGTGTACTCCAGTTTGGCCGCTGTAAGGAGGATGGTATGACCTGGGCTGGGAAGGGCAGGCAGGAGTGAGCAGGTCGGAAGCATCTTCTCCTGACAATGGGTCTCCCGCATCACCTGGCCCTTCGGGCTGACCTGTTGTGCTGGGGCCCTGGGTGGTGATTCTATGGTATCCAGATGTTTTTTCTCACTTGCATGCACATCTGAATATAACCCTGTCCTTTGGCTGGAGGAGCACACATAGATCTCCATCTGGGCAGCAGGCGAGAAATTGACAAAGACCAGAACTCAGAGTTGGGAAAGCTGGGGCCGAGACTCGGCCATGACCCCTTCTCACAGCAGGTCTCTGGCCAGCCCTGTCACCTCTCTGGACTGGAACGTGTGAACTTTTCTTTGTCTGGAACATGGGGCTTTTTATTCCACTGTTTACGAGTTGTTGTAAGGATGAATGGGTAGTGTATGAGAGAGCTCTGTGAACTTTAAAACACTTCAAATACTGTACCTCTTGTCACCCAGCATTTCTGGGCTGAGTGGCTGCACAGGCAGAGATGGGTGAACATCATCTGCTCCTGGGAGGGTGGTCTGCTCTCCCGTTGCATGTCGGGGGCCACTGCAGCTGGCCCGGGCGAGGGAGCCTTGGCTGCAGGCCACCTTGGCTCCACTCTGTTGATGACCAGAGGACACTCATTGAGAAGGTGGGAACTCGTTAGTCTCCGGAGGGGTCACAGGTGCAGGGACAGAGCTTGTGCTGTGAAGGCTGAGAATCCCAGACACCACCCAGCAGGTTCCTTTGTGGGGTCCAACCTGGACAAGGCGGGTGGGCTTTAACCCCAGGAAGAAGCCAGGAGTACAGGCAGGAGAAATGGGCAGGAATGGGAGATGGGCCCGGGGCTCCCGGCCAGGTTCACCCCACCCCAAACCAGCTGTGGGACCCAGGTGTTTCCTTAGTTCCTCTGAGCCCCTGCACCCTCATCTGAAGGCATCTATAGTACACCATATCACCTTGACCTGTGCAGAGGGGTCACACAGGCCAGAGAAAAAGGCAGAGTAGTGAAGCTCAGCTGTGATCCAGGCTCGGGGAAGGGGGAAAGGAGCTGTCTCAGCCTCACACCCACACAGTGGGTCCACTCGTCTTGACTGCTGCTATTTCCACTCCAGGCCTTGGAACTAGAAGAGCCAGGTGTCCCTTCTCTGATTCTCTTGGGGTCCTGTCCTGCCATCCGCAGGGCTGGCAGCCTTAGCTCTGACCCCACCCAACTGCAGTTGTGATGTCACTTCTGGCCAGGTGGTGGGGCCAGCACCTGGCTGGGCACACTGTCCTTTCTCACCTCACAGCTAGTCTCTGCTTCGCCCTCATTATGGGCACCAGAGGATGCTATGTTAGTTATTTGTCTTGGCCTGACACTCCAAGTTAAGAGCAACGAAGTGAAATCAGTGAAGGCATTGAATCCTGGCTTAGATGCCTGAATGCCCTTGGGCCAAGAACACCTTATAACAACTTCTCTGGGCCTTGGTTTCCCCATGTAAAGTGTGGAAGTCTTACCATCTACCTTGCTGAACTTGTAAGAGGGTGGCTCCCTTTCCTGTGACCTCTGTCCCACTGCTCCCAGCTGGGCCTCATCTTACAAGCTGTGCCCACCAGATGGTCACTGTCAGGACCACCCGGTGCCAGTAAGTGGTTGGACTTCCTCTCTACCCTGCCTGCACGCTCAGCTCCCACCACCTAGTCCGTCATCCTACTGGCCTACCAACACGTGGGTTGTCACCAGAACGTGGCTCCCTCTGTGCCTCTTACCTATCCAGTGAAGTTCTTTCTTCTGGAAAGTTCTAGTGGGACCTTCTTTTGCCAGAGGGAATTTGGAATGGTTTGGACCCGGACAACAGGGCCTTCATAAGTACTCACCTGACCATATTGTAGTTTTCTGTTCTGTGTCCTTTTCCCCAGCCTCAGGGACAATGATGTTGTGAATCTTTGTATTTCCAGGGACCCACAGAGTGTGACAGAGAGCCGGTGTCTGCAGGGGATGTTTTGAATGAAAGGGTATTGTATTCGAGATGTCTGATTTCCAAAGTTGTTTTGACCATTACTTAGCCCTGTGGTCTTGGGCCTCAGTTTCCACATCTGTTCATTGGGGATCCTAAGCTCGCCACACCTCAATTCTGTAATTCTCTGATTAAGGTCTGGTGCCAGCCAGCTGGGGGACGTGCCTCCTAAGAGTGAGTGGAGGGAGTGTAATCCCAGGCATGATTGCTTATCCAGAGGGGCTGCTTGGATAACCTCTTCTGTAGGAAGAGGCCAGCCGCTGCTCATCTGTTGGGAAGCAGGGCAGGGACAGGGTGGGTGAGGTCAGGGGCTTGTGTCAACGATATGCTTGCCACTTCCTTATCCACACCAGTTGTTGGCCACTTGGCTCAATTGTAGCAGGAACCGGATGGCCGTGTTTCCACCTCCCCCCAGCCCTGCCCCAGTTGCTCACACCCGGGCCCCTGGCCCCTGCCCAGCACACACAGAAGGCCAGGAGTGCTTTCTGGAATAGGATTCCTCTTTGTTATATGCACAACTTGCGTTTTTGAGAAAGAAGAATTCTGAAACATTATTGGGAACGTCTCTACCAAGCTCTGGCTTCAAGTCCTGCAGTGAGGCTTGGAAGGTTCTCAGAGGCGATGGCGTGTACCCCTCCCTGGTGCAGGAGGCTCCCCCTCTGTGGGCCGGCCTGTCACAGGGAGTCACAGCCTCTTGGGGGAGGCTGTTCCTGACTGGGCATTGTGAGTTTTAGAAAGTCTGCCCCTCCAACTGAGAGGAAACGGGCCTCTCTGGAACGTCCACTCAGCCTGGCTCTTTTCGGGGGCAGGGAAAAGAGGCCCCTGAGTTTCCCATGAGGCAGCCCCTAACATCTGAGGATGATGTCTTGGAGCACAGGGTCTTAAAGACCCAGGGGTCTGTTCTCCTCAGGCTAATGTGTCCCAAAAAGAAATGAAAAGCAAAATACACTGGGTTTTGTGTTGTGTATCAAAACTTTGAAAACCGCACTCTCCTGTGGGAAGTCCATTTATTCCTGTGGTTTGGTGATCACCAGTACCTCCCAGATCAGCTGCCAGCCTCCTCTCCCACTATTGCACAATCACATTTTAGGGGCCATTGGCATGTCCCTGACTTGACTTGTCGTAAAGCACAGAACTCCTCCCTCCCTCCCTTTCTCTCTCTTTTTTCTTTCATTTGAAGTATAGTTGATTTACAATATTGTGTTAATTTCTGCAAAGTGATTCAGTTGTATATATATATTCTTTTTAAGATTCTTTTCCATTGTGATTTATAACAGGATATTGAATATATTTCCCTATATAGCTATACAGTAGGTCTTTATTATCTATTTTATATGTAGTGGTGTGTATCTGTTAATTCCAAACTCCTAATTTATTCCCCCTTTGATAATCATACATTTGTTTTCCATATCTGTGAGTCTGTTTTTGTTTTATAAATAAGTTCTTCTTTTTTTTACTGTGCTCAGTCATGTTCAACTCTTTGTGACCCCACTGACTATAACCTGCTAGGCTCCTCTGTCCTCTTCCTCTGGAGGAGGTTTTCCAGGCAAGAACACTGGAGTGGGTTGCCATTTCCTACTCCATGGGATCTTCCTGACCCAGGGATGGAAGCTGCGTCTCTTGCATCTGCTGCATTGGCAGGCGGATTCTTTACCACTAGCCTCCCATAAGTTCATTTGTGTCATATTTTAGATTCCACGTGTAATGATATTGTATTTTATTTGTCTTTCTCTTTCTGACTTACTTCACTTAGTATGATAATCTCTAGGTCCATCTATGTTGCTGCAATGGCATTATTTCATTCTTTTTAATGGCTAATTAGTATTCCATCATGTATATACATAATACAATATCTTCTTTATCCATTCATTTGTTAACGGACACTTAGGTTGCTTCCATGTCTTGGCTATTGAAAATACTGCCACTATGAACATTGGGGTGCACATATCTTTTTGAATTAGTTTTCATCTTTTCTGGATAGATGCCCAGGAGTAGAATTGCTGGATCATATGGCAACTCTATTTTTAGTTTTCGAAGGAACCTCCTTTCTGTTTTTCATAGTGGCTGCACCAATTTACATTCCCACCAACAGTGTGGGAGGTTTCCCTTTTCTCCACACTGTCTCCAGCATTTATTATTTGTAGACTTTTTGATGATGGCCATTCTGACTAGTGAAACACCGAATGCTTTATCGCTCCCCTGTATCCTCCCTCCTCTTCCCTTCTTATCCATCTAGCTGTTCATTCATTCAGTGTATACCTAACGAGGGCCTACTCTGGGCAGATCCTGAGACAGGCACCCAGTTCTCTGTGCTGGAAACCTTCAAATCACTTTTGCTTCTGCAAGGAGTTGTCACTATTGAGTGAATCCATGGCCCTAATTAA